TGCATGTGTGTGTGTGCGTGTGTGTGTGTGTTGGACCTGCAGCGTTTTTCTGTTTACTGCTGCTAGTCCATCTGTTAACATCACTGTGTCATTCAGAGGAACTTTATTTTGTTGATTCCCTTTTCCTTGTATATATTCTGCCTCATCTTCCATTCATCCATCCATCTATCCATTTTTGTCCGCTTATCCGTTACCGGGTTGGGAGAGCAGCAGTCCCCATGACCACCACCCAAATCACACCATACAAACCCCCCTGAACCTTCCTGCAGGTGGTGAGTCCACTGGAAGGCACCATCCGCCCTAACCGGGATTCGATCTTGCCCAGGAGGTGAACCCTGGGGTTCCACATCAATGAGACCTGCCTCATCTTGACAAGTTTAATTAAAAACAAACTGATTTATTTTCAGGGTTGATAAGAAATGTGGAACTACAGAGTAAAGTGATGAAAGATGAGTCATATACATATGTAAGCAAATCTGACAGTTTTTGTTGTCATGTTTGTTGTCATGTTTCTGGCTTCCATATTCTAATCCTAGCATTCAGGTATCATGTATTGTGGCTTCCTCAGTTTCTGTTTTGCCAGCTACAGCACAGTGACGCTGCCCCTCCCTGTTTGTGTATTCTGAGGGCCCAGGCAGGTTGATGAAGAAAACAGGTGGAGGCTTTGAGAATCTTTATGAAGTTAATATCACACTGAAAAACAGGACCACACCTATAACACACCTACGTAAAGTTCACAGTGCTAATCCACCCTGCAGCACTCACAGAACAATGGCCTCAGTTGTGTTTTTTGACCTACAAATGTGAGGCTTTCTCCAGAGCCATGCACTGCAACAGTGTTTTCTGAGGATTTACTTTTATTTTTATTTTTGATCATTTTCTTCTCCCGTGATGTGTTTGATTGTCATTTATCCAGCCATAAAACTTTAATAATATATCATAACATCTTAGTGAGAGGGTCATAGTACCATGTTTCTAGTTATATTACATCTAGTTATACACTGGTGAAATGAGGTGAACTGTGATTATTGTCATAAAATATTACCTTTTCAATCCTGTCCTCCAAAGAAACATCTTTCCATTTTCATCACAGCTACAACACCGTTAGACAGTATACAGTCTGCAGTTGACCAAGTAACTTTCTGTGTAATTGGGTTGATGTGCAGTGTGAAAGTACAAACTCAAGCTAAACCACAGTGAGGAGACNGCAGGAATGTGTTTACAGCCAGTTTAGAGGTCTTTAAAATTGACACAGCATTACATAAGACTATTTATCACTGGTATAATATAGAATAAAATACTATTTAAATTAACTTACTGCTGAAATTGTTGAACTACTTAAATAAATTTACCATCAGGACAGTAAAACACTGACCTGTAGTATGAAAACAAAGAACAGCTGGTTTTAGTGGAAATGTTGACGCAGTATCTGGTCTTTAGATTGATGCATATTTTCAAGTTTGTGCATTTAAAGGATCACTCCCAATACAAGTAACAGTATTTGTGCATCATTAGTTCTGGACATTTGTGATCGAAACTTTGTACTTAAATTAAGATGTAATAGTTACTGCTCTGACTATTATTATTTCTTACTGTGACCATGTGGACCACATAGTATTCACAGTAAGTACTACAAATGCTCATTTGTAGGGATGTTTACTGTACCAGTAAGTAGATTAACATCACATTAAGCCCCAACCCACTCTGGGATATACCTGATCCTGGTTTGTATGGTTGAAGAATTCAACCTACTGGTAGATTTATTTGTATTTATGTCTTGTATTTGTCATGTTTTATGTACTACAGAAAATCTATACAAACTAAATGACACAAAGCATTATTAACCTGAATCCAGTCACTGATAACAATAGCATGTCCTATATTATTCACAAAAGGCATTGGAAGCATTGGAAGCCGGTCAAGGCCCTGGGTGTTCACTGTCTGTATTTAAACTTTTTGAAAACAGACAGCAGGTGCTTTGGCCCAGAGGCAATGTCTCTGTCACTGATGTGGAACCATAGGGTTCACCTCCTGGGCAAGATTGAATCCTGGTTAAGGCAGTTGGTACCTTCCAGTGGACTCACAATCCGCAGGAAGGTTCAGGGGGGCTGGTATGGTGCAGTGTGATTTGGGTGGCCCCTCGCAATCCGTTAACTGATAAGCAGCTGAAAATGCATGGATGGATGTATCGAAAACAGACAGGGAATGAGACAATCTCTATTCGAATACAACTGGGATCTTCCCTGCTTTCTGTTGACTCACGCAACCGGTTTTGATTTTTGATATTGAACTCGAACGTAAAACACAAAAACTCCTTTTAGTCTGGTTACATTACAACACAGAGACATGCTTTTCAGCTCCTTAATTTTTCTCTGGCTGAGAGCTGTTGTCAACAAATGACGTAGCTGTATTTCAAATCTTATCACCTGTTAATTAAATATTCTAGCTGAAACTCCATCTGAAAAGAAAATCAGCAGACCATAAAAGTCATGTGACTGACGCTCACTCTCACATTGACTCAGTATTATTGAGGTCTAATATTGAAAGAGTATACAGTATTAGATTATGATTGGACACCAGAGTTTGTATATTTCTTAATATGCTGCAAAAAATAGACAAAAATAGATAAAAAATAGCATTTCTTGGAGACAGACCTTCTAAGTCAACTGCTGCCTTACTGTAAAGTCTGTATAATTTGAAATCAAGTCATGCCACTGCAGTGACTTGGGCTATGACTTCTGGAACTTGACTAGGACTGCTTTTTATTTATTTAGTAGCTGTAACTTTCTTTCTTCACTGACTCTGACACCAAACCTCTGGGACTCAACTAGGAGTTGACCTCTCTTTAGCTTCTGCAACTGAAAACCCCAGTGGCATAAATTAAACCTTTTTTCAATGACTTGTAAACTAACTCTATACCTGGGACAATAGAATGAGACAGGATTAGAATTTTTCATCCTTTACTTGGACTTCAAACCCTGAGGGTTCAACCTGAACTTTTTGTCACTGACTATAATGTGAGTACTGAAACTGTTCAGTACTTTAACTCTCACTCTGAGTAGAAATACTTGAATTTGACTTAAACTAAATGTATGGATTTGGACTCAAACACTGAATGTTTACCCAGAAACTTTTTATTTTCAACAGATTGACAGTTTTCTTCAGTGACGTGGACTTTAAACTTTGGGGCGTTCATGTTCACTCTGCTCATATGTTTTCTTTGTGACTTGGATTCTGACTTAAATACTGTGAAATTAAACTTATCTCATAATTTAAACACTGGCTTCAAACTCCAAAGACTCAACTACAAAACCACTTGTGAGTCAGGAAGTAAAACATCACAAATGTTCTTTGAACTTTGATTTGATTTGAAGTTGACTAACTAACTAACTCTAACCAAAACAGAGTAAAATCTTGTTTTGAAGTCCTTTCCTAGGCTTAGCATATGTTTACATCTAATCGAAATCATTTGATTGAGCACAGTGTTGTGTCTCACACCTCTGTTCAATCACTGATGGTTTATCCGCCCCTAATAACACTTGTGTTCGCATGTTTGCCTATGCGTCACACATCCTGTAATTGATTTGATGTTTTTGTTCCTCTTGGTAATTTTCCAATTGTTTTGGCCTTTCAGAAGATTAATGTTGTGCCAGTCCATGTTTCTGGCTAAGTGAGTTTCATCCCCTGCCAAAAAACCCACAAACATGCTGAATAATCTATGTTCCCATAATAGACCAGTTTCCCCACTTAGGCAGGTTTCCAGGCAGTTCAGCCTTTATAGTCCTTCCTGTGCCATCCCATTCACTCTGCAGGACTTGGAACATGAATGGGAATGTGACTCATGATTCTTTTTAATTTGATATTTTTTTAACTCCCCTGACTTTCCAATAAACTCAGCTAATAGTTACAGGCAGTCTTAGTAGTAAGAGCTGGGTAACCCAGTGATGGTTATTACAGACTTTTCTGGTATGTTTTTAATGTAAGAAAAGATGACCAATTGAAAAAACATCAGGAAAGAAAAACAAGAGAAAAAAGGGCATGTGAGGAGAGTTGGCATTGACATCACCTTTGCTATGTGGTTTCATGTGAAGGGCAAGTCACCTAATATTATTCTTTATTACAGGTAATCTCAGCTCAAAACAAGTCAGGTACACGCTGGTAAATACACACCTGGTGTGGATGTGTTAAAAAAGAGGAAAACATGTTGTCACTGGTCCCTGTGTTTATTTACCTGGTCGCCATAGTGACTGTCTGATGCAAATGAGCGTTACTCGTTTTTCTTAGTACTCTAAGTTAAAAGGAACAAAAAGAAGAATTACATCACTTTATACACATATACATATACATATACATATATATAAAACTTTAAAATAACCTAATAAAAAGTCCTGAAATGTACACTTTAAAATAACCTAATAAAAAGTCCTGAAATGTACCCCTGACTACAACTCAAGTCTCATCACTGATCAGATCCTAATGTGTTCAGACTCGACTTTAGCCTGTGGGTGCAAAACAACTCTGCATCACAAGCATCTGTAGTGCCCTTTATTCTGTTATTGAGGAAAATGCATTGTCGGCACATTTCTACAAATCTTTCTCTTTCTCTGTGTGGGTTCAAATGAAGGACTACATTAATCAGTGTTGTTCATGTTTTTGTTTGTTTGTTGTTTTGGCTGTTGCCTGCCGACGGCCTGCTAATGTAACAGGTCTGCAGGATAAGGTGTCTTAATTGAGAGGACCCGAAATCAGAACCCTGCTGTCTCCTTTAATAATGTATAAATCAAAAAGCAAGTTAAATGTGTCTTCATGTGCTTTGTGGCCCGCTGATACTGCAGGAAGTACAGAGTCCTGAGTGCTGAGATGGCCATTTAATCCAGTATTTCTCCTGCAGGAGGAAAATATGCACAGATAGTAAATGCTATAATAGGCACAAGCTCAATAACTGTGTATCTCAAAGACATTTGTTAAAAGTGTATCTTTCATTTTTCATTTCTCCACAGATCTGTTTCCTGGTGTCAACCTTCCAAGGTCAGGTGTTTTCAGAGGACAGTTGTGCCACCTTGGCACTCTTCTCTCACTACTTCCACCTCAGTCAGTTCTTCTGGATGCTCATACAGGTAGAACACACACAGAAATACGTACATACAAGTGAATAAATGCCACATCAGAGTAATGAAATCAAAACAGAAAAATAATTCCTGCAGTTTGGTGTTGATACATAATAACTGGTTTAATTGGAATGAAGTGTTTTGGCCTGGACAGATCTTATTTCTTTTTATCTTCTATCTTTTATCTCAAATCCCATCTTCTTTCTACATCATCCAGGGAATTTTCTCCAATAGCATCAATATTTCCATATGATATAGAGGCAGAATTGGCTACTTGGCAAAATAATTTCATCATAGGCATATAACATTTTTTAGACCTTTAATGAATGGGATTTTATATCATTCTAATATTCAACATCCATAGAAAAAGTTTTTGTTACATAATCAGGGTAGATCATGATAAATTACACTTGTGATTAATCAAGATTAATTGTATTTCATAATTGTAATCTCTAATTGTAAATATTGCCTACTGGTAAATAATGTTGATCTACTGCAGGGGGCACTAATGGCACTCATATTCCATATTGGATTTGTTTCCAATATGAATTAAGTTATTTTCCTTATTGTTTTCTGCCTCTTTTTCTCTTCTGCTCTCAGCAGCTCAAATCCTTTGGGTTTCTATGACTACACTGGCTAATAGCTCTGTTTTCAGATGTGATAGAACAGTCAGAGGGCAGTGTCACTGCACATGAAACCACCTACTTAGACTTCAAGGCATTAAGACGGTTCATGTCTAATTGTATAGTTTATTTTGGTAGGAGACCCTGCATTGTCCCTTTTATAAAATATGTACATTTTAAGTTTTAAATGCATCTCTGCCGTACTATAGTTTTTATATTAAACACATGTTTCGATTTTAAAACATCTTTAAAACATCTTTTTCCTCTGCAGCACTTTTCTTTTCATGACTTGGCAAATATGATGTCACCTGTTCTTTTATTTGGGCCTTATGTGAACCACGTGTTCTGTTACATAAGAAGTCATGAAACTTTTGAACACCTTCTGGGCCCAGAATGGTGGGTATGAAAGTAATAGCAGTGCTGACATGACCTGAGGCTGGTACCATTTAGTATCGCCTCACTCTACTGGCCCCTACCCAGCCGTCCTACTTGACATTTTGCCTTTGGTTCATGTTGTTCTTTTTCTTTGTTGTAACATCTAGGAACAAAGCTGCTCACACAAAGCTCTGGTGTGGAAATATTATTGCTTGATTTACTTTGGCAGCTGAAAGCGCCATTTAAACTGAACCTTTTACTGATTCTGAAACACTAGTGTATTCAACTATTTTTCTGTTCTCCACTGACAAACACTGAAAAGCATGTTTAAAAAACATTTTGTAATCTGCTTAATCCTTCAAAGAGACTAAAAATGACTTCTGACCTGCTGTAGAAGCACAAGAATGTTCTGGACATAGAACACACAGTTCTTCTTTCATTTCCATATCGAGGACAGCTGACTCAGGGTTAAACTCCTTACATCATCTCAGCCTTCTATTAAGTAACAGCTCTTAAAAGAAAAATATTTCATTCAGGACTCAAGTCGAGGAGTTAAAATTGACTGAATGGTGTCCGAATGACTCTGAGATTGCAATTTATTTTTACATTAATAAAAGCTCAGGCCCGAGTCATAATTCAGTTTTTTAGTCAGGAAATGTAATCCATTACCATCATTAGTCAAAACCTCTGAAACCACATGGCACAGACTCTCATCAGTTCTACCACAAAATTAAACTACCCTGAATTTTCGTGACACAACCGAATGATGGATTCACTTTAGTAAACATCGAACTTTTTGACCTTGATAACCAGAATGAACAACAGTAAAGGTCCTAAAAATGCTGTTCCTAAAAAAAGCCTCTTGGCCTCATATCTCTTCAACGTTTACTTGTAGCTAATACATTTTAATGTCCAGCAGCTCACTGCTTTTTTTAGTCATATATTACAAGTATTGTCAGCTCTGTCTAAATGTATCTGTTCCTAATATAACACTGTCAGAAAAACAATCTAAGCTGTAAAATCCTGAGTTTGGCCTGTTGGCTAATTTGGCACAGTGACTCAGTGAACAAATATACTTTGAAAGCATTGGTTTAAAGGTGATACAGTACGGTTATGTAATGTTGCACAGATCCGCAGGAAACTGCATCGTTAATAATAATAATAATAATAATAATAATAATAATAATAATAATAATAATAATAATAATAATAATAATAATAATAATAATAATAATAATAATAATAATAATAATAATTATTATTATTATTATTATTATTATTATAGTTATTTTCTGACATTGTGATGATCACACACAGACACTGCAGTTATTGATTATAGTCATCATCATGCCTGCTGGCGCCCACTCATATCAAGCACTTAGCTGAAAGTAACA